ATCAAAACACGAATCGCACCTCAAATCGAAATCTATGAACTTTGAACTTTCAATTTCTAAAACTCGCGCCGAAACATAGCAAATCAACCCGGAATGAACCCAAATTTTGCACACAAGTCCCAAATGACATAGCGAAGCTATTCCAATTCCCTGAACCACAATACGAACCCGATATCAAAAAGTCCACTCCCAATCAAACTTCCCAACAATCCAACTTTCGCCATTTCAAGCCAAATTCAACTACGGACCTCCAAATCACAATCCGGACGCGCTCCTAAGTCCAAAATCACCCAACGAAGCTAACAGTACCATCAAAACTCTAATCCGAGTTCAAATACTAAAAAGTCAAGCTTGGTCAACTCTTCCAATTTTAAAGCTTCTTAGTTGAGAATCATTCTTCCAAATCAATTCCGAATAACCTGAAAACCAAAACCGATGGTTCACACAAGTCATAACACATCATATGGAGCTACTCATGCCCGTAAAATGCCGGGCGAAGTGCAAATGCTCAAAATGACCGATCGAGTCGTTATATCCTCCATCACTTAAACATACGTTCGTCCTCGAACGTGCCCAGAGTAGTTCCCCAAGCCATCAAACTACCGTATAACCTTACCATGCACATACCCGGGGGTGATCCCACATCACCCTATCCCATATAGGTCTGATAACACAACATAACTAAAATTTCTTAATTCAACCTAGCCCATAAGCCTTAGAATCCAATTTCCAACATCCAAAATTTTCTATAAGATCAGAATCTCACATCTACACACTGTATAGGTCTGAACAAGCTGTATCAAGCCATATCCATAACCCACGATGTAATCACATGATATACCGCATAACTCAAAATACTCATAGCAAAATCTCCAATCACAGTAGCTGCCCAAAACAATCCAATTCCGGTATATAACCTCATGTCAACCAAAACCTCGTTCTAAAACCTTCATATGCCAATGATGAAAGAAAGATGCAGAACTCATAACATTCATCAGATCAACGAGTCATGGAACTCCCTCTCCTTCGACAAGAACTATAGCCAATTTCTAGGCAGACTTTCGATATTATCCTTCCAAACATGTTGTAATCAAATTTGATAGTATCCATTCTAGGTCCGATGACCTCATCTCATCCAACACGACCACTCTAGTGACATGCCACATCAATACAATCTAAATCCATAACCCGTGCAATACGTACACCAATAAACAATATTCTAAATGTACTCAGTCATGGAAAATGACTCAAATGAGAGAACTGTCCCGCAAGCTTAACAAGTACCGCCACAACAAAATGATGGAAATCTATCACACACTATAGAACCATCATACGAATCTAACACAAAGATTCATACCTCAACATAACTCCGCTGCAATGCGTGATCCCATCCAAACACTGGTCCATGTCATATACCTCAAGCCACCCTTCTCAAAATCAATAACCCCACACGATTTGACATCAAGTTTCCAAAGTGCATTACCATACCCACGGAGAAGCAAATGGCGTAATGCCACACAAGCCCGAAAGAACATAACCAATGCACAATCAATCATGCAACACCCAAATACCCATCTCGCTAAAATTACGCAATAAAACCCAAGGCCCGGATAGTGTATGCCCCAGAGGTGCAAGTATTATAATAGAGCTTCAAGTTATGAACGTGAATTATACCTATGTGGAAGGGAAGTCGTGAAAGAAATAGAAGATATGATGCGAGATTTTAAGGTAAAGGTAAACAACGTGCGAAATACTCAAATGCAGAAGGTTGTGAACAGTTCATACATCGGATAGATGGCTATAAGCGCGGGGGATTTTGTATCCAGGAATGATAGCGTCATCGTTAGTGGCATATCTTCCAGCCTATAGTTTCTAGGTACCGATAGATCTAGCCAAGTGAGTAAAGAAGAGTTAGAGACAATGTGATGTCTCGCTTGATGTTCCAGAATAACATAAGGAAATCTATGGTGCAAGCATGTTGAAGAAAGGCTGCGAGTAGTATAAATGGATATATGTAGGTCGCAATCTAAAGTATGGTAGAGCGACAAGGTTTTAGGAAGACATAAGCACGGATGAGAAAATGTGAGTGAAAAGGTGACGAGAATGGATAAGTCCTCGGGATTAAGCCCATGAAAACAAGAGAGCTGATGATTCCTCTAAGTTATAGAGAGCTCAGTATAGCCTGGATGAACTTAAATGAGTCTAAGACTAATAGCATTTAGAAAATATGGAATGCTGCTCTGGTAGTAGAATGAGGGTGTAATTGTGATAGATAAAGGGTGATGTTGGGCCTTTGATTGAGTAATGACTTAAGGAGGATTTCATGAATTGCACGGGATTAAAATACCCATGTAAGGTGAGTCATATCGGTGTGCTATAAAATACGGTTATGGAAGTATAGTATCGCCCCTAGATGGATCAATCTAATTACTCCAGATGTCCCCGATGAGATGTAAGACCTAGCGGCAGTGTTACATAAGAGATCAAGTGGTAGATGATAGATCAACATTAAGGTGAATCAACAATGAACAAAAGTCACAAAGTATGAGGTAAAATTAGGCCGTCATTCTTAAAATGAACGGTAATGAGGAAGCATTAAAGGACACACATTTATACATATAAAAAACGAACGTAACCTGAAGTTTGGTAGCATACCTCAGTAATGATAAATCGAGGTAAGAGTTATGGTATATTATGACCTACTTAGATGCAGTAAAGTCTTGCGGATACATAATCGAGCCTATAAAATAAGATATAGTAATATTCGTAAGTTTGACAAAGTACCAAGCAAAGAACTTCACTATACCTATAGATGCCCAGAGGGACATCTTGTCAAGCTCTGTATATGTTTACAAGGTGAGGCCTAGAGATGGGCTAAAAGCTAGAGGAAAAAGGAGAGAAGAGTCGCATATGCACACTTACAAGGTCAGAGTAGTACGGGCTGCATGGTAGAAGGTAGCAACAGTTACGAGATTGAAAGGATTCCGACCATAAGTCGTGGTGTGAGAAAGAGGCCTAAAAGGGGGAATGCCCTGGCCTTTGGAATTATTCACAAATGGCAAGGAGAGTACTAAAGTATTCGGAAGACATAAGTCATGAAAATGATAGGTGCATCAATCAACATTCGAGTACGAATGTTCCAAAGGGGGGGGGGGGGAATAATGTTACACCTCATGTTTTCGTACGTGGAAGTACGCCATAAGTAAATAGATGAAATCTCGGAAATGAGATGTTAGATTCCGCATTTTCGTTCGTTAAAGTTTCGCCATAAGTTAATCGGCGTAAGCTGGGGAATGAGATTATTTCGAGTTTATAAGTATTACGCTATTTCAAACAAGTGATAAATAAATTCGTGAAGGTGAGAGGGTAAGAGAATCGAAGCAAATGAATTTCGTCGAAGTTTGATATTTTGGGATAAAATACGACCCGAGCTAAAATACCCGATATTTATGGACTAGTGCCATACAAGGTACCATATGACTATGATAGTAAGTTGTATAAAGTGTATTAAAAGTGAGTAATATTTTATGTAATTTGAGATAATTCTTAATTATGTGGGTAATTGGTTAATTATTGGACTAGTGAGGGGATTTAATGAATTAATTAAGAAAAAAGGGTGGACAATTGGATAAGTGAGGGGGCATTCACGTGGCAGCACACCTTAAATCATATGTATGACTCTTTAAATCATTACATTAGGTGGCTGTTACACTCTGTAAGTTAACAACCTTGATACCGTTATATATACATTTGATATGGTATTTTGAGTGGAATATTTTTGTAAAAAGTTTGAAAATTATGATTTTATATAGTTATTAATATTACTACTTTCGAATATGCTCTAAATTTTACGCATATATAATATGAGAAAGTTTATGAGATTTTCTTTATTGTAAAGATATAAATTATTTTCTCACAAATATAATGGAACGAGTTGTTCATTCCCATTTTTTAACAAAAACAACATCACAGTCTCGTTAATATATCATTTCCTCTAATGCTAGATTAAATATTGAAAACAAAAAGGAAGACTAAAGTCATTGTCTTCCAACGAGGAAAATCACTATCCTAGATAGAGAGTATCTATTAGTATACGGAAGGGCTAATAAATCCAAAAGCTAATGCTAGCAAAAGTTGTACTTTGTTATTCCATTTTTGGGTGAAGTGTTGGAATGGAATTGACTCTTATATATTCTTGGAAAAGAATCCAACCATTTTATTGAAAGTAATTTTTGTATAACAGCTCAAAATATTGGTTAATATAAGGACGAAAAACACAAATCAAGGTGTCGTGGAGAGTTATATTTACCATTTTAAGAATTAAATGTCTTTATATAAGATTAGGAAAATTAGAAGTTGAGAAAATATATGTATTTTTACATAGATATTTTAATAAAATAATAGTGTACGTATTTATTTTACATGATACCACATGACCATGATAGTAGGGTATATATAAAGTTTATTAAAAATGAGTAATATTTTAAGTAATTTGAGACATTTCTTAATTATGCGGGTAATTGTTTAATTACCGGGTAACGGGACATTACCTAATTACCTAATAAGGGGTCGTTTGGTATGAGGTATAAGAAGATATAAGGGTGGTATAAAAATTTAATACCACCTTAATACTCTGTTTGGTTAGCAAACCAGATATAAGTTATCCCGGTGTTAATTTTAACAATGGGATAACTTATACCTTATAGAAGGTGGGGTAATTAGCACCGGTATAACTTATACCTTATTCTTAGAAATTATGCAATTGTCATTCTTAATACAACATATCAAACAATGAATAAACAACAATCCCAGCATAACTTATCCCAATATAACTTATACCGGCATAACTTATACCGGTATAAATTGTATTCCAACCAAACGACCCCTAAGTGGATAAAGATTAAACTTTCCACCCCATCCCCATGTGGCAACCCCCTCACCTTCTATTTAATGACTCATTAGTCATTTAAAATAGGTGTCACATTGTTAGGAGATAAAGTCCACTTTATTGATGCTATAACTTTGCACCTATCGATTGTCTTTAGTTGACGATTATCTTTTGACGAACTGAATTGGTCATATAGAACTGGTTACTAGATGGAATTGATACGATCAACTTCCTAATTTGTAAGGTCAGGTTGGGGTTTACTAAAGGGCGCGTACAATTTCAATTATGTGGAGAAATTTTCTAGAATTTGTCAAGTTCTCCTGGTAGGTCCGCTGGAAATTCTATGAAGTGGCAGTTACAGGTGATATCGTGGAAACGCTTGAAATGGATGTTTGTTCACATGAAGAGTTATTTCTCCTGTCATTTTTCCTGCTACTGTTGCATTAGATTCATAAGCTTTAGTGTATGTGGTGAAAACTGCTAAGTCATATTTGAAGCATCATGTATCTAGCAAAGCATGGAGGAAGGGCGCCTTCAAGTCTATAAACAACCAAGGAAGAGACACAAATTAAATTATTTTGGTCCAGGGTAAGATATAGCAGATTTTGACATTTTGCAATACTTTTGAAGGTATTCTACCTCTAAGGTTGTTATGATCAAGATTTAACTCGGTTAAAAGGTTCGAATTTGCAATGGAATAAGGTATAGTTCCCGTGACTATGTTCTGTCAACTGTGACAAGATTAAACATCTTAGCTTATAAAGCTTCCCAATAGTTGGTGGAATGATACATGTGAGTTGGTTTCTGCCCAGCCTAAGTTCTTCCAGGTATGTTAAGGCTATCCCTTATTTCTTTTTGGCATGTTCTATACGACACAAACGAAACGAGCAAATACACAACTTCCATAAATAACTCTATTCATAGAAATGCTAGAGTTGTGTATATTTTTATTCTCCCATAAGTCATATTATTCTATCGTCTGTTCATGGGTCTCAGAAAAATACGTATTGATAAAGTTTATCCGAAAGGTATATTGATTTTTATGGCATTCCGAGAAAATCTTATTAACGTATTTCTTATGCATTTCATGCTACATTCATTACACTAACCCATGACCAGATGGCGCTATATATATATATATATATATATATATATATATATATATATATATATATATATATATAACGGTTATGGCGTTATATACGCACCACCACCTGATTAGCTGGTATACGTTGATGATTTGCCCACAGTGGCCGAGATGATATGATGGGATGCCCTCAAAGATCAGATGATGTTATGAAATATGTACCTATGCACGACACGACATTCATACGCATATGCATGACACTATAAGTATTTCATGATTTACAGAATTATCCAGACTTACAGGTTGAGTCATTTACTCTATATTTCTTCCATGTATGCTATGTACTTATTTATGTGCCTTACATACTCGGTACATTATTCGTACTGATGTCCCTTTTGCCTGGGGACATTGCGTTTCATGCCGCAGGTATAGATAATTAGTTTGACGATCCCTCATAGTAGACGAGATTGGCGTTCAGTGAAGGATCGGTAAGACTCCACCTCATTCGGAGTGCAGTCGAGTATAGTGTTAGAGTTTTGCTACATACTTATGGATAGGTCGGTAACCTGTCACATTTTATGTCAAATAATCTTAGAGGCTTTATAGACAGATGTTCATTTTGTACAGTATGTCAGAGGACTTGACGGCCCATATGTATTCATGTTTTATGAAAAATGGTTCAATAATACATTGTTTTCTCACTTACAGTTGTACATTACGAGTTGTGGCCATGTTGCATGATAGTTACAAAAGAAAAAAAATATTGCAGAGTGGTTCGCTCGGGCCAGTGCGGCACCGAATGCCAGTCACGCCTCCCCAGGTTTGGGGCGTGACAGTGGCAACCTAACATATCAATTTCAAGACACCTAAATTCTAGGATTTTAAATAAAAAGCAACATTTTTTCATTCTCAAACACTACCTCAGACGTGAGGTTTGGAGATTAGCAAAGTGACTTTGTTACAAGTTGTTACCAATTTCGTGGAAATCCCTACAAAACATTAGCAACGTGATTCATCAACCAATTGATCCTACACCAAATAATTCCAACGAGAATTATTACCACATTAGCAACGTGAGATTTCGCGATTCTAAGGGAGTACGGTGCAACCTTTTCCAGGAATGTCATACGGATTTTTTCCTACTCTAGGTATGTTAAGGCTATCCCTTCTTTTCTTTTGGCATGATCTATATGATACAAACGAAACGAGCAAATGCACAATTTCCATAAATGATTCTATTCATAAAAATACTAGAGATGCTTATGTTCTTGATTCGCCATGTGTCATATTATTCTATCATCCGTTCATGGGTATAAAAAATACGTAAGTTTGTAAAGTTTATTTCATGTTATTAATCAAAGGGATAATGGTCTTATGACGTACCGAGAGATTTTATTAACATATTTCATATGTATCTCATGCATTTATACATGCACATTGACCCATGACCAGATGGCGTTATATACGCGTATATATATATATATATATATATATATATATATATATATATATATATATATATATATATATATATATTTGGGATATGGGAAAAGGTTACGGCGTTATATACGCACCACCACCTGATCAGCTGGTATACGTTGATGATTTTCCCACAGTGGCCGAGATGATATGATGGGATGCCCTCAGAGGCCTGATGATGTTATGAAACATGTACCTATGCACGACATGATATTCATACGCATATGCATGACACTATAGTTATTTCATGATTTACAGAGTTATCCAGACTTACAGGTTGAGTCATTTACTCTATATTTCTTCCATGTCTGTTATGTACTTATTTATGTGCCTTACATACTCGGTACATTATTCGTACTGACGTCCCTTTTGCTTGGGGACGTTGCGTTTCATACCCGCAGGTCCCAATAGACAGGTCGAGAGTCCTCCAAGTAGGCTATCAGCTCAGGGAAAGATGTTGGTGCGTTTATTCACTTCGAATAGGAATGTCAGATGTTGGTGTGTACTTTTAGAGGCTTGTAGACGGATGTCATGTATATGAATGCTTGCATGGCCTTGCCGGCTTATGTTTTGAGTTTACAAATGATCATGTTAGCCTTATAGGCCCGTATATCACATGTATAAGTTTTTATATTAGGTTGAGTCATCCTATATTGAGTATTCCTCTGTGTTTTTTCTGGTCAGCCCGTGATGGCCCGTTTTTTCCATTTGCCAACAAAAGTACAATAAGAAAGATATGTTATGTTGGTACTCGGTTGAGTAAGGTACCGGGTGCTCGTTGCGCCTATAGGTTTGGGTCGTGATAGAAATGGTATCAGAGCAGTTCCGTCCTAGGGAGTCTACAAGCCGTGTCTAGTAGAGTCTTGTTTATGGGTGTGTCGTGCGCCACACTTATGAGCAAGAGGCTACAGGCCATTTAGGACTGTTACTCTTTCTTCTTACTCTAGATCGTGTCATAGAGATCAACTGTAATAACTCAATTTCCTAGCTCTATCTTATTCATAATACGATGATGCCTACATCCAGAAAGAAGGTTGGTAAAAGATATAGCTGTGGAAGTGTTGAGTCAGAGGAACTTGATTTTTGCATCATGCTTATGAAAATTTGAGGTATTCAGCAGAGCATGTATGTACTAAGACGTGTAAGTTTCTTGATAAGGATCCTCAAAGAAAGAGTATGTATCCACCTTTATGGTGAAAGACAATGAGAGATTCAGAAGATAAATATAAGTTTCAAGAAGTAAAAGAACCAAGATGAAGAAGGGTACGAGGTAACCAGTTAATAAAGATTATCATTATTTAACATTCAGGAAGGGAGATATAAGCATTTTGAGTTACCTTCAACAGTGACAGATGTATGTACAATCGGCCACACCGATCTCAGTTATGCCCTATGGGAGCTAACAGACATAGTTAAGAGAAGGACGAGTTATCCGGCTGGGGAGAGAGTAACCCAAAATAGTGGATGGATTGGTAGAGTTAGTTGACATTTCCGAAGGATAGTGCAAATGTGGTAATTGATCTCCTTGTGAGACACCTCTATGGTGCACCCTAAAATAGTATAGCTAGATATGAGTACTACAAAGATAAGTAGTGGAAGCCTGGAAGGGATAAATATTACCTTAGTGTGGCTCCCATCCCTGGTAGAAAGAGAACGTCAGGTAATTCGAGGAGCCAATGGATGGAGCAAGGGGAGCTAAAAGCAAAAGAATGTCATGTTCAAGTTTTCAGAATAAAGTGATAGACATAAATGTTAGCGGGAAATAAGAAGAGAGTTAATGAAGCGTTATGAGTAAGATGTGATGCATGGATGACAACGGTAGAAAAAATGACGGTATTGTAAGATATATAGTCAAGTTATGGAAAAGACGAGAGGAGCCAGGTCTTGAGACAACAAAAGAGTATAGGCCATAGAGTCATATCCTCATTTCGAGAAATAAGTTCGTGACTCCAACGCGACTACCAGAAGGGAGAGTTAATCCCAGAGTAATAGAATTTAGTATGGGCTGGTAAACAAGATAAAATAAACATGAATTAGGGGCTAAGTGATTTGATAATAGTCAGCATCATGAGAATTTTAAATTGCGTTCCGGCGATAATAGAATGGGCCACAGAAGAAGATTCATGAGGAATTCGGAGAATGGTCATTCAGGAAGACGCTTCCCTAAAAGGAAGCAATGTGAGCAAAGTTAAGCTTAAGGGACCATATGTGCCAGTTACACTAAGTGTCACCCTCGTGAGTAATGAAATTTATTATCCTTGGTATAGAAGGATTATCGTGAGGCGAGTAAGGGTCACCAATGATGCGAAAAGACGCCAAAGATTAAGAGGTAAAACCATCTATAGGTAGATCATTGCAGCACTAAATCTCAGTACTCATCTAAAGGGGGAAATATAAAGTGATGTGGCATTAAGTCAGAATTAAGTAGTTCTAGTAATTATGGAATGGTAAAGGAGGAATGCAATAAAAATGAGAAAGGAAAGAGATTGCACTTATTCAAACCCTACAGATATGCTACGAGTTATGCAAGAATGACGTCAAGGAGAGGAAGTAAGGGTTCCTTCCCGGGATGTTATTGATAGATAAGGAGCCAGTGTGAGACGTAAGTTGGACAAATAAATAACCCAAGAAAGATTACGATCAATATTAATATGAGGACGGGCCAACGAATAGTTAGCAGTTGATTCAGGAAGAGCCTAGTTATGGCTAGACAAGAGGATACAGACAAATCAACAGATCATGCAAGATAATCATAGTGAACCCCAACATGGAGAATTCAGTCTCGCCGACATGACATCGGGACCATTGAGAAATCTTCAGATAGGAGTTGGGGTAGTTAAAGGTATCGTATGAATGTTATGGGAATAAAATAAAGTGCCCCTAGGAAGACAATCAAAATATCAATTTAGAAGTACAAGCACAAGGGCATGGAGGTAAGAACTACGAATAATTATAGGTAAGTATGAACATCAAGAATTCCTTCGGGTATACGATATAATATGCTCGCTGCTTTACAAGAGTCAGAAGGTCTTCCCTAAGTACTACAACGAAAGAACTAACTGAGGAAATAAGGAAGAAGCTTCAACCTAAACATGGTAACTCGAAGGAGAGAAAAATGGTCATGTAAAAACAGTCTCACTACAATATTGTATGCACGCTATAAGAAAGTGGCACCTACAGTGGCTAACGAACGGGAAGTAAAGTCAAAGGTAATATTCGAGATCGTATGAGTTTCACAAAAATTTCGCCATGCATTGGAACTAAGATAAGCTAAGTATGAATGCAACAAGGAGGCAGAAAGTTGAGAAGGAACAAAAGGAATTATTCGACCAATGATCCAGAGTCAGTTATGTTATGAACGCACTTGCAATTTCGGAGTATACATATATGTTGACAATCATACAGCCGTAGAACACTCCGGCATAAGTTAAAAGAAAGAATGGAGTCCAGGTCAGAGACAAAGGATTGAATTGTTAGAAGATTGTATCCTGGATATTCCGTAACATCCATGAAAGACTAAAGTAATAACCAATACCATGAGCTGCAGATCGATAGATAGTTTAAGCCTACATAAAGGTTGATCAGAGGGAAGAGGAAACTAAAGAGTTACACCAACTAAGTAAATCAGGATTCTGATTATTGGACCCAGAAAATTATAGACCTCGCGATTCAGCACATTGCAGGATCACTCTTAATTATCAAAGGTACAAGAGAGATAGTACATTATCCATATTCTATAACGGCTCTACGATAAAGCCAGTCAGAAGAGCACCAGCCTCATAAGGGGTAAGTACGAAGCTCCACTGGATAGTGTGTGCACCAGAGGTGCAAGTATTATAATAGAGCTTCAAGTTATGAACGTGAATTATACCTATGTGGAAGGGAGGTCGCGAAAGAAATAGAAGATATGATGCGAGATTTTAAGGTAAAGGTAAACAACGTGCAAAATACTCAAATGCGGAAGGTTGTGAACAGTTCATACATTGGATAGACAGCGATAAGCACCGGGGATTCTGTATCTAGGAATGATAGCGGCATCGTCAGTGGCATATCTTCTAGCCTTATGGTTTCTAGGTACCGGTAGATCTAGCCAAGTGAGTAAAGAAGAGTTAGAGACAATGTGATGTCTCGCTTGATGTTCCAGAAAAATATAAGAAAATCTATGGTGCAAGCAAGTTGAAGAAAGTCTGCGAGTAGTATAAATGGATATATGTAGGTCGCAAGCTAAAGTATG